CCAATACAAAAATAAATAAATATACACATGAAACAGAAAGGTAAACATTTCCTTGTATTTAGATCTAATATTGCAAACCCTTTAATGCGTTTCTATTTTTAAAGACATGACAGTTCAAAACCAGATTGCTGACTGGATAACTGGGACCAAACTTTACTGCTAGCAGTAAACAATGCTTTTCTTTCTAGCTTTTCTTATTTCTATTATTTTGTGGATATGTTTTCATTATTTTTGTTTACCTTCGTCTTTGTCCAGATTATTTTCTGATCAGTTAAGCAAAGCTGAGAGTTGTGATTAAGTGGCTAGATCGACATTCCCTAAATCTTCAGGCTGCCAGATTTTGCCAAATTTTTTAAATTTCCTGAGAAGACTTCAAAAATTAGACAGATTGTAAAGATTTTAAAAATGGAATGAAAAAGATTGGGTGACTGTAGCTCCGGAGATAGAGCTCGGTCATCTACTAATGGAAAAAGAAAAAGGTTCTGGTGTGAATGAGGTGTTGTATAAAGCAACAGGAGTCCCCAGGTAGAGCAGAAAAGCACTATATAAGAACCAGTCCATTTACCAACAGTGAAGGAATATGAGCTCTGTGCTACTCCAGTTTATAAATAATAATCTTACCTACAAACTCGGGAGTTCCAAAGATGTTCTTGAACTCAACTCCAGCTTCAATCTTATGGGCAAGACCAAAATCAATCAGTTTTATTCTAGGCAGGGGTGTGTTCTTATCCAAAAGCATTATGTTTTCAGGCTGCAGAAGACAAGAACATGAACTAAGCAACTTTGAACACTTTACATTAGGAGGTTCTAAAACATGTGAGTTGATTTTCTGATACAAAAAGGAAAGAAAAAAAATAAAAAAAAAGGGAAAATCATTTGTGGAAAGCAGTGAAAAATCATGTTTCTATGCACAGCTTAATTCATGAATTTACTTTATTTACTATATGCTCAGTGGCATTTTGGTCTACTAACAAGTTTTCAACTAAGAGTGAAATAAATCATTTTATTGATTAGTACATGGGATACATCGTCAGATAAGTGATTGTTTCTAAATGTCAGAAAAATGTTGTTACAATGTTTTGTTTTTTTCACTTAGCACATCCAGATGTGTTGCTACATATGACCAGTCAATCATTTTGGACACACCTGGTCTTATTCTTTTTTTTCTTTTACAGTGTTTGAAATAACACATACTGATGATTGAAGTGTGATGTGTTAACTGTTTCACACTCTTTATTCTTCTCACTTCTTCAGTTGTTCTCCGTTTTCTTTACTTTGATCTCTAACTTATCCCACACCCATCCTAGTTCAAACCGTACGGAGCCATGCTTCTTCCAGGAGAGCACCAGGTACATGTCTGAAACGCTGCATCACCCATACAGTTTTAAGATAAGATACAGAGTTTAAAAAATTGATTGTTTTGTTGAGTTAGATTGTTAGATTCTGTTTAGAAATACAAAAGCAGCTTTGTAACTGCAGGAATGTCTTAAAGACATAACGTCCTGAATGACCTCGAATTTTCTGCTTCTAAATTCAGATAAAACTGAGGTTGTTGTAGGGCTGCTCGATTATGGCAAAAATGATAATCACGATTATTTTCACTGAAATTGAGATCTCGATTATTTGACGATATTTATTTAACAATAACAATGTGTTGAATAATGACTTTAAAAATAATATAAAATAGTGCAAATACTGATAACACTGCAAATGTTTGCAATATAAGAAATAAATGAAAAATGTAAACATCTATGTTTAGTGAACTTTGCAGTGTTGCTCTGTGGTGCAGCTACGACACTGTAGCAAAGTTTACACACTGTGTCTACTTGATCCACGTCTGACTCA